GACTGATGAAAAATAGCTTCAGGGATATCTGCGCAGCTCTGTGTACAGAAGTCCTCAGCGAGGATAGCTGCGACAGCTGTTGCGAAGCAAAATGTTACGTGGGACACCAAAACAGGCTTAATTCTTGGCAGCGATGTGTTATTCTCAACACTCGGCAAATCTTGTATTATCCCATATCCATTCCTCTGAGCTCTGACAATAATTGAGGAATTAGTCCATCATGTAACTATAAATGTTAAATCCGTAAAGAGAGCTTTTTTCTAAAGGCATCATGTAAAGTCAAATGTCTGAACCCATCCCAAGGATTGTTCCAGGGTAGAGGTGACGATGGCGATCGATCAACTGATAAGATAAGGATAACCGATAACGATAAGTAAGGTTAACGCGTCAACGCGCTCCCTCCAAACCAAGTCACGCAACTCCAATTCCAGCGATTGACTCACATACACCACAATTGGCTGTTCCATCGGCCCATTTCACGCCAAGTCACGAGTTGCCGCGTTCGACTCGTGGTCCCATCATTCGACTCGTCCTACTAATCAACGCGTGAGGAGCGTGTTCTGGAAACGTGGCCAGAGCTTCTAGGGCAAAAGGTGTGGCCATTTTGAAGTGTGTCGTCAGAGTCACACCAGTTTTCGGTGAATTGACGGTGGTAAAGACGCGATGTAGGACGCGTTGAATGTAAACATTGTAGAATGTTAAATACGTGATTGAACCGTGGGAGAAGTTTACAGGTCGATCTTACATATCGTGTCGAGATCGCATACAATTCTATGCAATTTTATGCACTTCTAATTCCTTAATTGATCAATCCAAGACTCAACATGTCTTCCAACATTGGCCTTGTAGACGAGTATCTCGCCAAAGGAACATGGAAGACCGCTGAGAACGCCAACTCAACCTACTCCCACCAAGGACTCATGCAATACGTCTCCAACCAAATCATCTCTCAATACTGGCTCGAAAAGATCTACACCGAAAAAATCCGACAGTACGACTACGAGAATCGTTTCCATATCCATGATCTCGGCTTTCTCAGCGCGTACTGCTCTGGTTGGAGCATCGAAGACATTCTCCTGCAAGGCTTTGGCGGCGTTGAGAATAAGATCCAATGTCGACCTGCTAAACATCTCAACACTGCGCTTAATCAGATCGTCAATTTCCTGTTTACGCTACAAGGTGAACTTGCTGGTGCTCAGGCCTTGTCTAGTTTTGACACGTATCTTGCGCCATTCATCCGCAGCGATGATTTATCTTATACCGATGTGTTCAAATATGTTCAGAGCTTCGTTTACTCGCTTAACGTCCCAACCCGAAGCGGTTTCCAAGCCCCGTTCACGAATCTCTCACTCGATCTCATCTGCCCAAAACGACTCGGCGATCAATGCGTTATTATTGGTGGCGAATTACGAACCGATTGGGTATACAGTGACTTTCAGGAAGAGATGGATATACTTAACAAGGCATTTGCTGAAGTCATGATACAGGGCGATGGAAATGGAAATATCTTTTCTTTCCCCATCCCGACTTATAACGTGTCGGATGGGATTGATTGGGAATCGCCTCGGTGGCAGTCTATCTGGGAGATGACGGCCAAGTATGGTGTTCCATACTTTGCCAACTTCATCAACAGCGATCTCGACCCCGAGGATTTTCGGTCCATGTGTTGTCGATTGAGGCTCGATCTCAGTAAACTTCACTGTAGAGTCGGTGGCCAGTATGGCGCAAGTCCTTTGACTGGCTCCATTGGCGTTGTCACGATCAATTTGCCCAACCTGGCATACCGATCGAATGGTTCGAAGGAGGCGTTCATGGCAGAGTTGACCAGCACGTTGAGAGTGGCCAAGGACTCGTTGGAGATCAAGCGAAAGCTTGTGGACGACAACTCGTCCCTATATCCCTACGCTGCTCATTACCTATCAGCTACCAAGCATCGCACTGGATCATACTGGACGAACCATTTCAGCACCATTGGCGTCAACGGCATGAACGAGGCACTCGTGGATCTTCTCGGTGAAGGTATTGCCGAACGAAAAGACTTTGCCCTCGAAGTTCTAGAATTCATCAAAGACAAACTTCAAGAATTCCAGAAGGAAACAGGGAACTTGTACAACCTCGAAGCTAGTCCCGCAGAGAGCACATGCTACAAGTTTGCCAAGCGCGACAAGGAACTGTTCCCTGATAAGAAGATTCCTACTTACTACACCAACTCCACGATACTACCTGTCGACACGACGGAAGGTCTCTTCGAAGCTATGGGCCATCAAGAAGCACTTCAGTGCTCTTACACTGGTGGTACTGTCTTCCATGCGTTCCTCGGTGAACAGCTACCCAGTTGGAAACTGGCTAGAGACCTGATCAAGACTCTCACTGCACGCTTTCGCATCCCGTACATCACACTCACGCCGACCTTCAGTATTTGTCCGACCCATGGTTACAGAGCAGGCGAGCAGCCAGAGTGCACAGCATGCGGAGAACTGACTCTTGTTTACTCCCGCATCGTTGGATACTTCCGACCCACGAGGGATTGGAATCGTGGCAAGTCGAAGGAGTTTGTGCAGCGAAAGGTGTACAAGTATGAGACTGGTCTGAGCAATGACAACAAGCTGCAGGAGCTGGAGAAGCAAGTCGCTGCAATTCAAGACTTACCTGTGGCTGGATACATCAAGAGTACGCTTAGTGACTACCCTGGCAAGACGCAGGCTTCCATCATGTTTACATCCCGCTGCAACCTCGCCTGTCCTTGGTGTCACAACGGGCCGTTAGTCCAGGGTGAGTGTGACGATGTTACAACTGTAGACATCTTCCGTCACATTACATCAACGTCTCACAAGTCATTCGTTGTCTCAGGCGGTGAACCTACCATCCACAAAGGTCTCCTCCCGTTTCTCAGAATCCTCAAGGCCGCAGGTATAAGCGTGAAACTCGACTCAAACGGCACATCGCCCGATGTTCTCAAGCAAGTCTTTTCCGAGAATCTCGTCGACTTCGTTGCGATGGATATCAAGTGTGCTTTGGAGAATTACAAGCGCGTCACGGGTAAAAAGGTCAAGCCGAAGCTTCTCGAAGCTAGCATTGATCTCATCAAGAACAGTGGAGTGCCTTATGAGTTTCGCACAACTGTCGTGCCAGAGTTAGTTGATGTCGAGGATCTTTTTGAGGCGAAGAGGTTGTCGGGGAAGAAGTTGACGATGCAGAGATTTAGGAATGGTGAGACGTTGTTGGATGCGAAGTTCAGGACGTTTCAGGAGCATACGGATGAGGAGTTTGATAAGTTGGTGAGTCAGGTTGCCTAATTGGAACGCTTTGCTGTTTCTATTTGAGGTTTTTCTTGTATGAGTAGTCACGTTCATTAATGGTAGAAGTGAACAAATTAGAACCCAATGAATGCATTCTTCCCTCCGCTAAGGGGTAAACTGATCAACCCGGCCGTTTTCCGAAACATATCCATCCACTGAGGATTATCAGCCCAAGTAGAGTCCCAGGAATTGTCGGGCCCGTAGATGATCTCACTCATCTTTCTCTGTATTTGACGATCGGACGGCACATGGCCTTGTGAGATCTCGGTAGATACATATTGTAACAAGAGCCTCTGTACCTCCTGGTGAGAATGAGGAACCTCTGATTCTCTTGAGTTTTGCCTAGGGCTCGTCTCATTGGTGCTGAATGGACTCAGAGCGTACGTGTCGACACGGTGGTCTACGCGTGAAGCTGAGAATGGTTCCATTGTTCGGCGCTGATCGCCTATCAAGAACGCAGGCATGTCATTCTCAACACGATCCTCGATTTGTTTGTCAAAGCCCCGATCACCTTTCCATTCTCTCATATCTGCCCCCGCACGAAAGTGTAAGGAAAGATGCTTCTGCCTTTCTGTCCAAGTTCCTAACTGAACATCACAAAATCCACATCTCGACCTCACATCATCTATTGACGATAGCCAGCTCTTCATAGAGTCGTTGAAGTTGCATCCTTGATGAAAGAGACGCAAGTGCTGTCGTAGGTGATCCTTGCGGTGGAATAGTCGTGCGGACTCTGGTTGAGCGGCACAGGCCGAGTAGTTGTGAGTCTCAGGGTGATCTATCGAGGGGTTGGGACATTTGCAGAAGATGCAGTAGGAATTTCCATCGGTCTGTTGTATTATCGGTCCATATCTTGAGCATCTGCATGTGAGTCAGTCATTGTAAGAAAAAGGCTGCTCTCTTTTCTTTACTGACTTCCATTGCTCGAGGGTTAAATGCATGGTCGTCTCATGTCTTTGCCAATCATGCTTCGTTTTAAAAGCGTCTGTGCAGAACGTACACTGGTATCGTCGTTTGGTTGTCTCCCTCTCTCGTGCATTGTTGATGTTCTGGCGCGTCTGTCTCCTTCTTCGTCTCAATCTCGAAGCCGATGCGATTGGTGAAGTCAGCGAATCTACAGACCCGACGGATGAATCTGAGGGGGCGCCATGGTATCCGCTGGACGATAGCCATAAGACATCTTCTGCCAAAGTGTCACTGGACGGGAGTTCCCCAGATGCCCTGCAACCTATGGAGTCTGATGGCTCCATTGATAAGTGTTGCAACCCTGTCCGGGACGGGCCGTTGTCGGTAAAACCGGCTGCCGTTTCGCCATGGATACCGGGGCTGCTGTCCAGAACATCGTCATGATGGTGAAGCCACGAGAGCCAGTCGTCCTCGTCAAGTAACGTATCGCCTCGTGGCGAACCTGACGCGCTCATGTCTAATTCAATTCGTACAACAAGACTTCGGTCCAAGGCACGAGGAGGGGATCGGAATATCGGAGGTGGCAGCCGACCTTATCGTTGGCGTTGTCACAGGGCGCAAAATTAGCTTACGCCCTTCAACATGACCCACTTCTGCAAGTGAAGGGAGCTACTGGACACGAAAGGGTTATCGACAGGCGAGACAGGGTGCATTGCAACCAGTATTTATTATATACGACAGAGTAGACAGAAACTGAGTAGATATCTGTATCTTACGCACTCTGCTTGTTTCGCCATGTCTGCACAAACTTCTACAAACGGCACAAGTGGTTCTGCAGCCTCCGCGAAAGGACAACTCGATGCATCCAAGCTCAAGTTCAACTTGACAACAGCGCTGAAAGACGTCCCCAAGCCCGGATCAGCTGAGCTATGGGAACAGAATGTCGCGACTGATCACATGGTAACTTGTCGCTGGACGGTACAAAACGGCTGGGAAGACCCTGTTATCAAGCCATTCGGCGACCTGACTATCTCACCGCTCGCATCATGCCTTCACTACGCAACTCAGTGTTTCGAGGGCATTAAAGTCTACCGTGGTTTCGATGGCCGCGTCAGACTATTTAGACCGGATCGAAACGCAAAGCGCTTGGTTATGAGCGCAGAGAGAGTTTCACTGCCAAGTTTTGATCCCGAGCAGCTTGTTGAGTTGATCAAAGCCTTGGTTCGCGTTGATGCGAAAAGTAGGTATTTCTATCTGCGGATTATTCTGTTCAAAAGGTGGCTCACAACGTGATAGAATGGCTGTCGGAGCCCGGCAGCTTTCGGTACATTAGACCAGCATTGATCGGAACCGGTCGCCAACTTGGTATTCAGATTCCCAAAGAAGCCATCTTGATGGTAACCCTCGTTTGTTGGCCCGACTTCTCCACCGAATCACCTCCTGGTGTCGAGCCACGATCTGATCTACGTCTTATCACATCAAGGAATGACACCATCAGAGCGTGGCCAGGTGGTTTCGGCTACGCCAAGGTCGGTGCGAATTATGGCCCTAGCTTTGCATCGCATTGCGAAGCGCAACAAGCGGGCTACGATCAGGTACTCTGGCTTCTGGGAGATGAAGGCCAAGTCACAGAGGCTGGAGCTAGTAATTTCTTCGCGGTCGTCCGAGACCAAAAGACCTTGAAGCCAGTTTTACTAACAGCGCCATTAACGGATAGAGTCATTCTCGATGGTGTTACCAGAAGATCTGTTCTTGACCTGGTTGAAAGCCGACTTTCCAAGGAGCTCGAGGTCAGAGAGGTTAAATTTACGATTAAAGATATTGAGAAGGCTTGGAGAAATGGTCTGCTTCAAGAAGCATTCGTATCTGGCACTGCTGTGAGTGACCCCAATCGAGCTTAAGAGGTGGCTGACTCACGCATTGCAGTTCTTTATCAAGAATGTATCGACCATTCGGGTCGGTGATTTCAACATCGACCTGCCGCAGAAGCAAGACGATGGGAGTGCATTCGGTCCGCAGATCAAGAGCTGGTTGAAGGATATCATGTTTGGAGGCGAGGGCCATGAATGGGGTGTCGTTGTGGAGTAAGAAGAACTACAAAATATACTTTTTCAAACCGATTATACAACTTAAATTGCATAGTGATGTTGTTCATCGTACTACTGACAGACGTTACGGTTCATCGTCATTGAGGAGACAATCTCGTTCCGCAAAATCCCTCGTGTGACTTAGACGATGTGGGGCTGGGAAGGCCTCAAAGCCTTAAAGTCTCGCTCTACTCCTCTTTTTGTGCATGCCAGCGATATCGAAGTGAACTACAACTACCGTCTACAAATGACCAAGCACGCTCCAGTGACTCTAGGTGTCTTGGGTCGGTATTATTCGGCCCGGCATACTCTAGGACAGTACCGCTCAGCATGTGTAACGGCAACGTACAACATATCGCTCCTGAATGACTCATTGTTGAACGAACTTGATAATGCACTCGAGAATACTCTGCAAGCCACTATTCGACAGCATTCTGGTCTACGATATGGCATTTCCGACGCGAAAGAAGCTGATGTCCCGCTGTTCAGGCAGATCTGTACATTCGACCGCGAGGACGTTTTGAAGGTCATCGATAGCCAAGATGCCAAAGGCCATGATGAAGTTGCCGGGGATATGATTGATGATGTTCTATCAAGAGTACTTGAAAGCCGTCATTCAGCGCTTTGGATCCGAAACAAGCCAGCCTGGAAGGTTGTTGTTGTCAAACATACCAGTAACTACAAGTCAGGCCCCTCTCTCAGGCTGGATATTTCCTTCTTCGCACACCACGCTATTGCAGATGGGCTAAGTGGCGTAGCCTTCCATGCATCATTAATGAGAAATCTCAAACTTGGCATACCAGTGCCTGCAAGATGGCCCCTAGAGTTGAACGAGGTACAAGACCCTCCGCCAACAATCGAAGAAAGCGTGGACTGCCTGTCGTGTAACTGCACAATCTGCACAACTCCCGACAAATCTGATGAGCCAGTCTGGGCGGGAGGCTCTGTATCTGCAGCACCAACGGTCGGCTATGAATCTCGAGTCCGGCTAGTGACAGTCCCAGCGGCACCGTTTTCTAGCCTTCTTAGAAAGTGCAAGCAGGCCAACGTCACAGTCACCGGGCTACTTCACGCTATCATATGCGCATCACTAAGCATCGCTATCAAGGAAGACGTACCTGGCTTTCGAGCTGTTACACCCTTTTCAGCAAGACGACATACTGGAGCCTCTGACGCCGAAATCGTCAACCATATTTCTTATCTGACGAGCTATGTTTCTCGAGAAGACTTGCAGAAGTTTAGAGACTGCCATCGTGGCTCTCACACAGAGGAGCAGCATATTATAGACCTTGCGCGTCGCTTCAGCAACGAAGTAGCTACAAAAGTCAAGGAGTTCCCGCACGGCAGTATGGCTACCAAACTCAGTCAAGTCCATGATATTTTACAAGAATGTCAAAGCCAAGGCGGTACAGAGAGACGGTACACATACGAGCTTTCCAATCTGGGCTCAGTTTCAAGCATACTTCCACCAGAAGATCGCGGCATTAAGCTTGACAGATTGGTCTTCACGCAATGCGGTTTTGTTGCTGGCCCTGCATTGGGGTTTAACTGTGCTAGCACCAGGGGAGGGGATTTCGCCATCAGCATTACTTGGCAGAGAGGCATTGTTGAAGAATCTGTCGTGGAAGACGTTGCTCGAGACCTAGAAACACGAATTGGGACATTTCAGTAGTACCACAAAATCGTTGATTCTTTCTTGCTTTGCGCGTATCGGATCCAGTGGCATAGTCTGGCCTCTTAATTCAGGCCTAATAGTAACCTGGTATAACAACTATTGATGTTCCTATTGCCATGGACGCCCACCGTGTCTCACGATGTCCCTCGTTGACAGCGGGAAGCCTTGTCGTTGTGGGGCACTACAGCTGAAGGTGGAGAGAGCCTGAAGGGCGTATTTTCAGGCGCAAACCCAATGCCTCACGCTAACCTTTGGTGCAGCACAGTTCAGTCGAGGGCGTGAGCCTGGGCGCGACATGATCCCTCCGATGTTCGCAGGTCAACAGATGCATCCCTCAAGGCGTAGGACGCTGTAATTATATCATAAACCTGAAGCTATGCAGCTGCTGCGTCGTGGCTCAGATAACGACAGCATGGCACCTGGAACGGAATCGGAACCGGTGAGGGAATGGATCGTCCTCATTCCCGATGTCGAAGGGTCATTAGAGACGCGGATGAGAGTGCGAGAGTAAGTAATTAATTACCTTCACTGTGCCCCTGAAAGGTATATAAATCATCTTTAGAACACATATCAAGGAATTGCTCCAGCATATCGACTCTGGTTTATTCCAAATGGGCGGGGGCACTTTGGCCGGAGATAGCGTCAATGGAAGTGGCATCATCGCCCGAGCCAAATCCGAAGCCGATGTACTAGCTGTCCTCAAGAATGATGTCTACGCCAGAAGCGGAGTCTGGGATCTAGATAATGTCAAGTTCATTCCTGTATGTATCTCATCACAAGAACAGATTGTAATTAACCAATGGACAGTTCAAATGCGTGTATAGGCGGGAGCATATTGACGGTGCTGTCATGGGCGCTGAGTGGAAATTCTAAAGCGGGGTTAGTGGTTTAGATTAATAATTCACTGCACTTATATAAGGGCCTGTCCACTAATTCACATCCCGTCTCGCGAAGACCAACATCCATCCACCAGTCAAACATCAATGATGGACTCAATTGCCATTATCCAAAAAGACAAAGGCCTGACTCAAGGGAATGTCACTCTACCTCCCTTGAAGGACCATCAGGTATACGTCAAGGTTGAATACGCCGCTTTCAATCCTACTGATCGTGAGTTCGGTCGTCAACCTTTGAGACTTTGTGTCGCTGATTTGGTGAGGCCTGGCTCTTGATGTCAATGCCTTTGGAGATGGCGCAGTGCTAGGCTGTGACTTTGCTGGTAAAGTCGTGGATGCCCACTCAAGTGTCACCAAATTGAAGCCTGGTGACAGCCTTGCTGGCTTTATCTGGGGAGGTGAGTTCGATAAGGCTTGCATGTCAATAGAAAGAAAGCTGACGTGTTGCAGGAGAGATCAAGGGCCTAGGGGCCTACTCGTAAGTTCTGTGCAACACTGAGACGACCTTCGATAAAGTTAATCAGAACTCGAAGGAAGTACACGATCGCCGACGAGCGGTTGTCTTTTAAAATACCCGGAAATATTAATCCAGCAGAGGCTTCATCAGTTCCATTGGCTGCTAACACTGCATGGCTTGCTCTCTTCTCCGACGATTGCCTTGCACTCAATTCCTATAAGACAGGAGAAAGAAGCCCCTTGTTGATCTGGGGAGGTAACAGTACGTACTCAAAACAGCACTCGATACGAAAGAATACTGACCGATCTACAGCAACCGTTGGATATTTCGCCATTCAGATCGCCAAGCTCCACAACATCGAAGTCGTTACAACCTGCAACCCTAAAAACTTCGATAAGATGCGACAAGCTGGCGCAACTCATGTTTTTGACTACAATGACGAGGAAGTTGCATCTAAGATTCGATCAGCAGTGCCAAATCTGCAGCATGTCTTTGATACAGTTGGCAACGAAACCTCCTCAGCGACTGCAGCCAGGTCCATCAGTCAACCACAAGGCATGCTATCCACCGTTCGCCCAGGCAAGGCAAACACTGAAGGCGTTCCACCTCATATCAAGGTCACGGATGTCTTTGTCTTTACTGCTTTCCCCACAGAGCATAGCTACCGAGGAAAGGCGCATTGGCCTGTAAGTGTCATCTGTATCCGCTCGCAACATGCATGAGGCCGGTCTCTTAACATCTTGATAGGTGAAAATGAATGATCACAAACTCAGTGCCGATTTTCATGGTCAGTTGCAGACATTGCTCGGAAACGGATCTCTCAAGCCATCTCCCATCCGTCTCATGGGACAGCTTAGCCCGTCTACGGTTGAGAAAGCGATGGATCTCAACCGCCAAGGTTCTATCTCGGGCGAGAAGCTTGTTTTTGAAGGCTTTATTTAGGATATGAGCCACCGACGATTGCTTGATGCTGGACGAAGGTCAATTCGTTTAGAGTAGTTCGTTTGCTTACCAAGCAATAAAAAACGAGAGACCGCTGTTTTCATCATTTCAAGATCCACTGACGTATCTCGATGCAACATAAACACCATCTCCACTTGGCCAAGAGAAACAAAAGATCCCTCGTATACATACATCACAGCCACTTACTCATCATCCCAAGAACCATGAAGCAATGACAAAGATTCCCTCCCCCTTGGCACGTCTGTAAAAGATCCTCTTGGCCGCATCCATCAGGCTATTTCGCATAATCATCGCATGCAAAATACCCAGCAGCGGGGTCGAGATAAAGGCTGTATACAGATCGGGAAGTTGGTATTATGCATATTCTTAGTGTCGCCTTGGCATGTTGCAACGTCAATTACCGACCTTCCCGATTGACGACTGATCTTCACGGACTAGTTGCCAAACGTTGATGATTACTCCGTGATAGAGATATTTGCGGGGCGGATCACGCAAGATTGGTGAAGAATTGGAGGGACTTGTGTTGATGGATGAGGGGATTTATTCTAAGCATTTTCCGGGTATAAAAGGTAAAAGATCTCGGCTGTCCAGTCTTGCCTTTGAATGAGATGCGAAGTCATTCATCATGAAGTTTACTACAGCTGCTGCTCTTCTGGCTCTTTCGCCTTTGACAGAGGCTACCAAGCCTCCGGTAAACTCAAAGAAGCTTCAAAAGCTCATCACCGAGAAGGGGTACGTCATGATGCCTCAGTCAGATTCTTCCCGCTGACCATCACAGGTTGATGCACAACTTGAAGAAACTCAATGACATTGCTTACGCCAACGGAGGAAACCGTGCCTTCGGTCTTCCAGGTTACGCCGCCTCAGTCGACTTCATCTATCACGAGATCTCCAAACTAAAGGGATTCAAGACATGGAAGCAAGATTTCCCTGCGAACTTCACTCAAACTCTTGCAGCTGAAGTCACCGTCGATGACGAAACGTTCAGAACTGTCGCTTTGACTTATACACCCAGTACTTCTGAGGATGGTGTAACAGCCGAGCTTGTCCACGGTCCCGAAGGTACAGCTGCATGCGATGCCGCAAACTATGAGGGTCTCGACGTTGAAGGAAAGGTCGTACTCGTTGAACGTGGTCTTTGTCCTGATGGAACTACTTTCGCTGGAAAAGTCAAACCCGCAGCTGCTGCAGGTGCTCAAGTCGTTGTTATTTATAACTCCGATGAAGCGAAGCTAACAGCTGGTACTCTGTCTGCACCTAACCCAAAGGAGTATGTTCCCACTGGTCTTATTGACCAAGACCCCGGAAAGGCCCTGAAGGCTCGTCTCGATGCTGGTGAGAAGCTCGAAGTATTCGTCAAGATCATTCAGACCATCGAAACGCGCATCACCCAGAACGTCTTTGCCGAAACCAAAGGAGGCGATGGCGAGAATGTTGTCATGCTGGGAGCTCATCTCGACTCAGTCCAAGCAGGACCTGGAATCAACGACGATGGATCAGGAACTTCGCTCATCCTTGAAACAGCAAAGGGTCTGCAGCACTTCTCCACCAAGCTCAAGATCCGATTTGGATGGTGGGGTGCTGAGGAGAACGGTCTCGTTGGGTCGCGCTACTACGTTAACAACCTCAAGACCGATGATGTTGATAATCTCTTGGCCTATCTGAATTTCGACATGGTATCTCGTGGTTTCTTTGGTGTTTTCGACGGAACCGGCGAGAAGGTAGGTCCCGGTGGACCTCCAGGCTCTGATGTCATCGAAGATCTCTTCAGGGAGTTCTTTGAGAAGGAAAAGATCGAAGTTACACCCGTTGGCTTGACTGGTGGAACTGACTACGTTGCCTTCCGCGAGGTCATCAAGAAACCGGTCGGTGGTCTCTTCACTGGAACTGGTCTCGAGCAGGATGCTTGTTATCACCAAGCTTGCGATAACATTACTAACCCTGTTCCCGAGACGCTTCACATCAATGCGAAGGCTGCTGCACATGTCTTGAGCAAGCTCGCTATTGATGGTGTTAAGCTCATTCCCAAGACACCTTCCAATACCACGGTTGGATCCATCAAGAGGGTTAGAGATGCGGCGTCGTTGCATTTGCATGATATCACTGGTTTCGAAGGAAAGCCATGTGACCATGACCTTATCTAGTATTTGTACATATGATGAAATACACACAGCGCAGTCTCTATCAATTCGTTAAACAAGCTATCTACATCCTAAAATCACCCATATGCATAATTTTTGCATGACTCTCATGGCTTTGGAGCCTAGACGACAGGTCGCTCGGGATCTGCCGCAATGTCATCTAAGCGCCTCATCCAGCCCTCCAAGCCAATAGGCAGATCATTCCAAAGAACTGGCTTATCTTCGACACTTTCCAATTTAACACCGTAATCTTCTGCTTGCTTGAGCTCCGCTTCCGTTAGCTTACGGTGGTTGATGTCTCGATATACTTCTTCCATCTTTGGAAGCCAAACCTCTTGTAGAAAGGTACTCAAGGTAGACAGACTTCCATAACCATCACCAAAATCCGAGACAAGTTCCTCCAGCAGTTGCAACATATCAGAATCCTCGTCGTGGATCTCGTCAATATCATCCGAGTTCATCTCAGCGCATGATCCCCCATTTGCAAGATTACAGCAAGTATGGCGAAGGCCCAATGCACAGAATGTCGAATAGCGTAAGATCGCACGAGGCATCCAGCTGTGTATCTCATCTTCCCTGTCTATTAGATCTTGGATGCTAGCAAGTAGCGATCTAGCATTATCCGTCAGAGTAAAGGAAGTTCGCGGGTAGCGTCGGCGACAACCAAGCCCTTCTAGAAATTTGATGACAGGTGTGCAACCATGCAGAGAGCAGTGACATCGACAATCATCGCACAAGGAGTCAGAAAGCGCGGCGGTTGCGACAGAAGATGGCAGGTTGTTATCGTACAGCTTGTAAGGATAGTATCTCGCTTTGTATCCCAAGATTGCCATAAGATAATGAGCCCAGGTTACTCGTTGGGCAACCCCAGGCATAAAGTCTGACGGCACCGCCGACGACATGTCGCCACTATCTCTGATAATCCAGTCGATATACCATGGCGAGGGCCAACCAATCGATCTTCTTCTGATAACCTTCCGTATTATGGAATGAAAAGCGTCGATGAAGGCAGTCGCTTTATCGAAACCGAGTGACAACGCATACTCAGCGGTCTCTCTGTCCAAGATATATGCATATATGGATTTTGAGCTCGCCCTTGATTCTGCCGAGCTACTCTTTTGATGTACCATTACATCCTTCGGAACATCACAAGATCGAGTTTCGAGGCAGCATTGAACCTGTGAGGCATGCCTGTCCAAGATCCATCCTTTGCACAGACCGAAACCACGGACGTCTTCCATGGGAAGTTCAGATATTGCTAGCTGTTCCAACTCCTTTCTTCTTTGGGCAAGATGCTGGAGAACGGCCGTCTTGGTACGTTGACAGGGGTTTCTCAGTCCTAATTCCAAGGATCGTTCGAACAGGGGTGATTTTGCATCAAGTAGTAGCTCTACCATACTGCAGCTGATACATAATTGCTGGTCACCTAGGTTTGGCTTTTTATGTAGATGGGAAATTGCATAATCGATAGGGTACCTCCGTTCACTGTCCGCAATGCTGAGGGCCTCGAGGTTGACGCGTCCCATCAAGAGTGAGAAAATACGCAGATTCCCTACCAGAACAGCTATATGGACTGGTGATTGTCCACAATAGTTGATTTCCAGTCCATACGATGGATATTTTCTACTCAGGAACTCGACTTCCTCTTCATTCTCTTGGAGAATTGCAACGCTAAGCGGGTTAAAACCGAGATCTGGTTCAGTTAGTCCTCCTCCTGCCTAAGACCCCTGTTACTTACATTGAGCAATCTCGGGGAACTCTTTCAGAAGCTTCCGCTTTCGTGGGTACTTGTCAAGCCCATACACGCTTCCATAATCATGCCTTGTTGACTCGTCGCAGCGACTTAAAAGTGCTGACACAGTGTCAGGCAGCGTGCTAGTATTGAGCAACCAATTGCTTTCTAAGACTAGTGCAAGAAATTGTAATCTATTACGTACAGCTATTAGTATATTCAACAAAGGCTTGAACATGAACTTACTCTCCACCGCGATCATAGGTGACGGGTACCTCAATAGCGGCCAGGGAACGAAACACATACGCAACGTCATCTCCTGGCTTTTTAGACAGTCCAGGCTGCTATAGGGATCCACCGTTAGAATATCATTGACTCCATCAATCAAAGATTAACCCACGAGATGAGATAGTTGTGATGCGAAAATGTCAAGTACTGATTCACCATCTCCATTCATGTCTGCTGGAGAGGCTTCATGCTTCGCATAGCATAACTGAAGACGTCTGACACACGATTCGGCGATCATTTCGTAGTGCTCGCTACTCAAACTTGGTTCAAGCCCTGTCTTTAGAGCACAAAGAGCCCGGACGAGTTTGAAGGCTGGGGAGAGACTTTCGTCTACTGTTGGACTCCACGTGATGTTTTGAGCCAGACTAAAACCACCTGCGCCAGTTGTGAGAGAGATTGAGATGCCTACAGCGCTTGTCAAGACGTTCAGAATACTGGGAACAGAAACACCAACGGCGCTTCGCTTCTGCTGGGTCGATCTGACGATTTGTGATAAAGGGCATTCAGGCGCGTGGTGGGTTGTCTTCTGAAGCTCCGTCTCAAGAGATATCAAGCCTAAGCGGGCTCTGCTGCGCTGAACATCCCGACGTTTGGCACAATTGCACGAATCCCGTCCTCTCCTTCTTTGCATGTTAGATCCTACGGTCTGTCGATTGGGCGGTGGGTATCGCGGCTCTGAGCGTAGTGAAGCATTCGAGACGGCGTCGCAAAGTGTTCGCAGGTCATTTGGATATGATACAAGCTGGGCGACTTGCGTTTTTACAGTTTCTTCGTTGCGTAGATGGGCGAGAATCTCATCAATTTTTGTGTTAGGAAATTGAGTCGTTCCGGATGTCCTTTCAGCTTGTACTAGAATGGTCTTCATTGTCTGCTGCAAGGAGGTAATAGCTGTACTCTGGTCGTTCAAAATGGCCCTAAATACGGAGTCCAATTAATTAATGATTGCCAGAGTTAGTAGATGATTATAGCTTACAGTTGCAGAGCTGATAAGGCAGTTTTAAGGACATTATTTGCCGACTTCAATCGTTCTTCAACCCGGGCGATATTCTTCTTCTTGAAGGGATAGCTCCATTTTTGCATTGAACTTTTGGCTTTGCAAATAGGACCTGCAGAGTTGATAGGCTTTCCCAGTAGGTCGTTCAGAAGGCTATTCAAGGCATGAAGTTCAGATTCACACGAGCTCTTGCACTCCTCCACAGCATCTTGGGCCATACTACTCCCGTTGACTTTACTCAATGCATCTCCGATTGCCTTCAGGGAGCATTGCAGGGTCTTTGCGTTATTTTTGGCCTGCAGGAGGTCTTCTTCTCGTCCCTTGACGGCGTCGAGGTATTCTGATAATCCCGTGTATAACTGAAGGCCAAAGGATATAATCCCGATGGCGGTGCCGGCAGCTTCTGCCATGTCGCTGTGAATTCAAAGCGATGCAATCGGAGATGGCGGATACAAAATTTAAGTGCAAGAGGCAAGTTTGGACATAAAAATTACCGTCCAGGCTGGGGAAGACATTCTAGGGATCAGATGAAGTGGACCAACAGCCATGCGACCAACATTGAGGCCCCGGCGCTTAACTGCTTGTACTCTATGATGATAGGCTAGCAATGCACTGCCCATCAGGTGACTCGCATGGAGGGTTGCTGCCTGAGCTTGGCCTGACTAGGTGTTTTATGGCATAAATATATATTACTGAAATACTATATTTACTAGCAATTTCACCAAACTACAATCAATGTTAGCCTGCCCCTGGTAGTAAGAATAATATGCTATATAGAAGGTCATAATTAACTTTAGCAAAGGGTATCCTAGACTTAAACGCCGAAGTCTCTTATCATTTTGGATCGAGATTATCGGCATTCTTTCCTCACCTAGGCAAGCACTTAGCATTGTGGCAAGTATGTAAACAGAGCCCTGATTCTTTATTATGCCGAAAAGCCAACTTGAGCTAGATGCGTTTTTTGCAGCTGATACTTGTGGCTGAGAGCTTATTCCACCAGACAGAACCTAGTTCCTATCTAAGATCTCACAGGATGATATTGAGCATCGATCGATGTGTAGTTCATTATTCGTTGTATTTATTTACTACCAAGGAACGCCAACACAAGATCTAGTACTGTTCCTCAAGCTCCCTGTGCGCCTTGCGTTCGCCGTGACGCTTAGCCTCCTCCTTGTCAAAGAAGTCAAGACCCTTAGTCTCAAACTCTCTGTCAACGAAAGCACCAACAGCTCCGGCAATGAACTCCTTGGCCTTGGCATGGCTGTCAGGCTTGCCTGGTGAGCCGTTAGTGACAGGTCTCAGGGCGAAAGATGGGGTTTAGCTTACCGTTTCTGGCTACATGGTCCTCATATGCCTTGGCAGCTTCAAAGGCAGCAGCACCGCCAATGATCTCGTGGGAGAGCTTGGCGTGATGCTCCCTGTTCTCAGAGTATTGGTTGTAGTTGTTGAACTCCTCAACGACCTCGGTGTTGTCTAACAAGTCAATTAGTAGGGCTCTAGTAACTACGGCTCGGGAGAACTTACTTTCCTCGAACCAACCCATTGTGAATGATGTACTTGATGATATTGAATAAATGATAAAGAAGTAGGATGTTTGAATAAGAATCGATGCACACAGAAAAAGCTTCAAACTTTATACCTTGAGGGGTCCAGGGGTCTCTACTCTATCCTGCACATGTCGATTCTATTCTAAACTTGGAAACGGGCGGGCTGCCTCTAGTCGAGTTTCAAGCCATGACGGTGTGCGAGCCAGTAGTGGCTGAAGTCGTAGCTCATCGGATCTCACGGCTCACAACACAAGGGCCACTTCGGCAATCGATGCCGTGCGAGCTCGGATAAGCGGCGCGCTTGAACTCCACTGGAGGACGTAATCGTCAATCAACGTAGTGAAAGATGGGGGGTTTCAGCTGGCATTGACGAGGTGAAAAGAGATGCCGTCTTTGCCGGGAGTTTGAGGGGATTGCCACAGCTTGCTAATACCTCGTGGGAATGGCGTGGCGGGGGATAGCTTTGAAGGCATGGAATTATCGCGGGTTTACGAGATTGGCATCCCTGGAGGAGCGGGGAGCTGTCTAGGGAGGTTCAAATGAGACTAAATTCAAGGCAGGAGAAATAAAATGGACAGACGTAATGGTATATTTGCTTGAATCATGTCTAGATGTTTCTTTCATCCCTGCTGTTGTATGCTGGTGACGGTTGTTGTTGTGATACCCCGAGTAGGCTGTGCCTCACTCTGACGCGGGGACTTTCTCCCGTCCCATTCGAAACGTCCAAGCGCATCTGCCCACTGTCCCGGTACACAGTGGTCGTCATACTTGGATAGAATGACGGTGAAGCAGGCTGGGTCTGGGCCCCTCACGAGCTTCAGTCCGTCGATCTGGGCCCTTGACGCCGCAATGCCTTTCGGCATGATCTAAAATCGTCCCGAGTGATCTAATTGGCGTCCGGCTGTATCCGCGCGTGGCGGGGTCATTGGCCTCCAATATTTGAGTTTCGTACTGCATCATTCTGAGACGCCCATCATCCAGCTGGGTCATCGCGTAATTGAACAGCTGTAGCAGCTCTTTTCGTGACGCGTCGTAGCCACGGCCAGTAAGTAGTATCAATCCATCGTCGCAGTAATTGTAATGATGCGACGATTTGGTAGATACCGAACATATCGCCCGTCGAACCGAGTGAGGCCTCTGACCATATTACCTTGAACAATTAGAAGAGCTGCAATGATGGCGCGGGGTAAACTTACGGTTCGAGAGTCTTGACGACTCGCTGCGATAAAGTTCCACGTATTTCCCTGCACGATCAGTCCAGGCAGAAAGCCCAGATCATCCACCGATGGAGCCTTCTCCCCATCGTCAACAGGCACAGAAGCACCAGCGTCAACGAGTCGTTGTAGAAGAGTCAAATGCGCTGTTAAAAACGTCGCAACTTGGAGGTTGGCAGTGTCCAAGCCCTCACCGGGACGCTTAGTCTCGATGGGAACCGCGATTGGATTGCTTAATAGTGACAAGTCATCGGTCGGGTTTATTGACAAGCCGGGAAGACATGCACGAACGATGTCGACGGTGCTGGAGATGTTTGTATCGGCGGGATCGTGGTGGGGATCGAGGTAGACGCAAAAGTCGATCCTTTTATCGGGCGCGAAACGGATGCGGTAGTCGGGGACGATCGAAGCAGATGAACTGCCACTGTTAGAAGGGAAGCGAAAGGAGATATTGCAGTGAACTTACCAGCATGTCACGTTGACAAGCCGTTGGAATGCACCCTTTGATCGATTACGAAGCGCCAAGCACAGCAAAGGGAAGTGAACCTCATGATTCCACGCTGCTTCAGACCTCCCCATGCGAAGACAATCACCGGCGCACTCAAGAATGTACACCACATCCTCCGGAGTCGGAGTAATCCCCAATTCATCTCGACGCGCAGAGCAGCAAAATTCTTTATCCTCGTACATAGCAGCCATGTCCGGATGTAAAGCCCTCGCAGCTGTCTCGTCCTGTATACTCTCCAGCCCATTCCCTCCCAGGATCCCCCGTCCTCGACTGAATTGTAATAACTTCGTTCGCATTTCTGCTAGACTTGGTGGAAGGCCGGATGGATCGGACATCGCGCGCGTTTCGACGCCGTGGGAGGATAGAGCCATGGCTGCTAATTGCTTTCGAGGCGATGAAGCACCAGACCGACCACTCGCTGAGGACATTGATGATGTGTCACTGGGTAGATGGACACTGCGTAAAGGTCTGGGAGTCTTTTCTTGTTCGCCTTCATCGTCGAATTGTGCATCGTTTGGGCTTGGACTTGGCACTGCGCCTTTGGTAGTCTTTCGTTTCTTTGTTGGTGCCATATCAGCAGCAGCCTTGGGGATTGTCGGAGAGTCTGGAGGTGGTGTCGGGTGTGTAAACTCCTTCGTAGTAGGCTTAGAGACTGGTATATGATCGGAACTGGTCGAGCTGTAGCTGCGCTGCCGCTTGCGAGTCGATCGTGTCGCTTTTGGTGGTTTCGCTGGGTCGAGCTCGTGAGGGTACGCAGTATTGTCGACCTGGCGCAGCCACGAGAGGATATCGACAGTCATTTCTAAAGATTCAGGCAGTCATTGAGGAAGAATGAAGCGCTAAATGCTTCTGTATCGGCATGTTGGCTGTCCGCGATGATGCTGCAATGCTCGATTACGTAGATCAATTGAGAGACCTCAATTGGCAAGGTGGAGTTGACTGGACAACAGCCACAGGCGCACGGCCACAGCACCAGCCACGGTCTACCCTGAAGTTGAACATAGAACCCTAGAAATGGTAGGTATTCACCGTGAATCTATTTGTCATTTGATCAATTTGATGGGTGGCATACAGAAAATGACTCATGAATTATAATGAGATAATATTGGGGACAAAATTTGCCCCAAATATGCGTGGTCGTTGAACATTGTATATTTACTGCAGTCAATGAGTTCTATTGATAACATCACGGCAGATAAGATAAGCAACACTTTACCGGGAACCTCAATGCTCACCACAGGAGACAGCAACCTTAAACCATTTTCACAATCCCTTAGCCTTGGTCACCTCATCCTCCGGTGCATCTTAATTGACCCAGCCTCTAAGCGCGCTTTCGCAGTCCATATCCCGCCCAACGCAAGCCACGCCGTAATTGTCTACGACGACTCGAACGCGACATCCCCAGTCGCAACGCCTACAAGATACACCAAGTGGAAGCACGACTTTCGCATTAATCTTGCTGCACCAACAGCACGCGCGAGGAAGTACTACGTTGCATAACTGTAAGTAAATGAAAGGAAAGGTACTGTTTCGCTATGCGACCGCGTTGAACGATTCGAAGTTTTGAACGGCGCTTAACGTGTGCACAGGGACAAGCTGGGGATGTAAATTGGTCAAAGACGATGATGAAATCGTTGCTATTTTTAAATCTGATAAGACAAAAATGTTAATCTGACATTTGCGGGGAGTGGCATCAGTAGATGATAATTCCCTTCACGGCCTTGACGACTTGAGCTTGCATTTGCTCCTGACATATCTAATTTATGCACAGTTATGCAAATTATACCATAGATCGTGAGAAAACGCGTAGGTTGATCTACCAAAGAATCGGGTGGTTCCACAACGCGTCGATCGTAAAAGAACCCCATGACGTCGTGACTTTTCTCTACACTGCCACGTAAGCGCCCATACCATCAGAACGCCTCTCGTATATCAAAAACTATCTTTTTCACAATTATAGAAAGCGTAAAATTCCATTGCCGTTAACCCGAACCGTCAAGTGAGGCTGAGCTGCGTTGTCGCCCCAACAGCCAAGCCCCTGAAGTTTAGACTCATCTACGTAACACTGCATGGAACCCTTGCCCTTTTCACTGCAACATTGAGGCCTCACCATGAAACTCACGACATTCGTGAGCTATGCGATTTTACTATCTGGGGTTTTGGGGAAGGATGAGGTTGCGAGAGTATGCGGAAATGAGCGGTTAGGTGAACTAAATGACTCACTCTCCTGTACGTTCAATCTCACCATGGGCATGGATACTTGCTGATAATCGCAGATTACCCAAATGCATGGAACAAAAAGAGTCCTAAAAATGGCTTCGTCTGCCTCAAAGTCGACAACAGCACACCCGCATTCTCCGCAACGTGGAACTGGCCCGCCGACATCCAAGATGTACACTCCTTTCCCTACGTGCGCTTCAACAACCCTTCACTCCCCGTGCGTCTCAGCGAGTTAGAGTCAATCCGCTTATCAACAGATTGGATCTACACACCAGGAAGTCCTTCAAAAATACCAGATGATTTTAGTAATGAGGTCTGGGCAAAGAATAAAGCGGAGTTGGAGGGGGACGGCGTGCAGGCGAATGCGGCGTGGGATTTCTTTCTGGACGATGATAGGAATAGAACGCTGTATCCGCAGGTTGCTAAGATTGAGTTTATGGTTTGGTTGGGAAGGGTGGGGGATCCGTGGTGGCTTGGACGGCAGAACGATAGTATCTTGTCGACTGTTACGCTTGGGAAGACTGAGTTGTAAGTACACCACTTGTGTTTTACTGCAAATACTGACTGTTCTAGCTCGCTCTTCTATGGCCGAAACTCGGGAGGAACGCACGTCTTCACAGCCGTTACAAAAGACAACAGCGACGTACTATCCTTCGATGAAGATTTCTATCCTTTATTCCAGTATATCCTCAAACAAGCCCACAAACAAATCGACGCCGATGACCTACCCAAAGATCCATGGCTAGGTATCATTGAGTTCGGAACAGAGACGTGGATGTCAAGAGGAAACGCTACATTCACAGCTGCGAATTTCGGGATGAGTTTGAAGGGGAATTTTACGAGTGAGAGGAACTCGACGAAGGGAGATGATGATAAGGACAAGGGTGATAAGTCTGGTGATGAGAAGGGTGGTGATAAGGGTAGTGGCGATAAAGGTAGTGGGGATAACTCGACGGATTCAAAGGGTGATGAGGAGGATGATGCGGTGAGGTTGATGAGCCAATCTGTGTTGGGGTATGTCATTGCAGCGGCGTTGGTTATTAGTGCGGTTCTTTCTTAGGATATTCATGGCGAGCGTGCATCATCATCTGCATAGCGGTGTTTTGTATCATTAGCAGAAATCTTAATCTTCATTCAAGGGAAGTATGGCTTCACGGTAGGATGAAGCCCCAATTGGAGTCTGGAAACCATAATCGATAGACACAATGATAAGCGATACAGGGGAAAGCCCATTAAAATGTTTGATATCAAATATATACGGTTACGCCCAATCTGTTAGGAGGACGTAGTCTCTCTAAGGATTGGCTACAGGATTCGCATCCTCCGGTTGGTGGGCCGACTACAAGGATCCGTCAACCTACCCTCCATCAACCATCAACCCATCTTATTCCCTCATCACGATCTTCACGATCTTCACCTTCACAAACCCATCACCATGCCACACACCTTCCCACCAAGCCGTCTCCGACGCGCCGTCCACGCCCTTCCCTTCCTCCTAATAACAGCCATAATGTCCCGCGCCTTCACAATGGCAAAACCCATCGGTCCTATAATTGAAGAAACCCTACAAACCTCCATCTTCACAGCGCAAAACGTCACCGTGCCTATTATCAAAAGTTTCTATGGTGTACCGGTCCTAGATGATGTTTTTGCTGTGATCACTGTTGCGTTTGCGCATTTGCAGTTCTTTACGGATGAGGAGGCTTACTGGCAGCTTTTGGTGTTCTTGACGGATTTTGCGGGGATGTATGCTGTTGTTGTGATTGAGGGGTATAGACCGGGGAATACGTTTCCTGTGATCAAGTAGTAAGTGCACTTCCATGCAGAGGTATTTATGCTAACCATGGTGGCAAGCCCCGTTGTATTTTTGTTTCTCTCTCAGATGTTCGGTATAGGTTGTCTTGCGCCGATCTTCTTCTTTCTGTTCTATATCTTCACGCCTGCTTACAAACTTACAACTCCGAGTCTGTATCGACCTGGCGTAGCGCCTTGCATGGCTATTTTGCCTACGGTTGTGTTTGGGTATTATGTCACGCACTTTCCGTCATTCTTTCACTCTTCTCTTGAGGCGAGGAATTGGTGGAATTGGATTTGGCAGCTGTTTCCAATCTGGGGATCCATCATCATGCTTGTGCTGTCGAAGATTATTCCTCAGCCAAAAGAGCAGACACAGAAGACAATTAAGCAAGAGCTCAATGCCCTTCGACTCACGATCGGTGTCATCAGTGCTATAAGCACGGCGACGTGGTGGTATACCATTCTCAATATGGACTCAACTATCGTCGAGGTCTTCATCCCGCAGCATTTCCTCACAACGCCACAAGACCCAATCCTAGGCCTTCGAATCGTCATCCAATTCGATTACATCTGCTGTTACGCAGCTGGCTTTCTGTGGTTGGCGTATCACTTCAAGGACCTTGAGAACGTTGGGGTCTGCAGTATTTCATGGATTCGAGCTGGCTGCGCTTCAGTTGTGTTGGGTTGTTTACTGGGACCGGGGACTATGTTTCCCCTTATTTGGCTTTTGAGAGAGGAGTTGTTGGTCGCGACACAGGTTGATGTAAGAAATCTGACAATTAGTGGCGGTTAGTGGTTAGATGATACTTTGGGTGCCAAGCATTTTGGAGCCCAGTATTCGGCGGGATTATTCACCCGACCGTATAAATTTTATCCATCACGCATATCGCACAGACTCTAATCTCATTTCAATCTTATCATTCACTACCAACATGCCACGCCTTCGGTACAACGTAGCAGCAAGTCTAGATGGCTTAATCGCATCACCAGATGGTTCAACACCCTGGATCATCGAAGATTCCACCATCGACTTTCCCGCGCTGTACTCTGAATTCGACTACTTCATCATGGGCCGCAAGACATACGAAACCATGCAATCCTTCGGCGCTGACAATCCACTATCAAAAAGACCCAAAGAATCGGTCATAGTAGCAAGTCGCACCATGAACTCGGACCATTTTCCCGATGTCACAGTCATACAAGAAAACATGCTTGATTACATCAGACATCTCAAAATGAATGACGGGAAGGATATCTGGCTTATGGGCGGTGGTAATCTCGCAGCCCAATGCCTAGAAGCTCACCTAGTGGATACCGTCGAAATCGCTATAATGCCCACGATTCTCGGCACCGGAATACCCCTAACCTCCTCCCTCCCACAGGAAATAAAACTCCAGCTATCAAACAGCACCAGCCTCGGCAGTGGAATCCTCATGACTCAATACAAAGTCATGCAAAGCCAATAATAAGCATAATCATCCTTCCCGTATGTTTCCCCCCCCCCCCCCCC